CAGCGGGGCACCCCCAGATCTGTGCAGGCCACCTCCCACTCCACAGAGCGTGGCACCCCCAGATTTGTGCTCTGATTTTCACATGAACATTCTAGAAGCCTCCCGAGGGTGAATCACGGCCGAAGGACCCATCGGATGTGAAGGTCAGACCTCCCCCCCTTCTCCATCTGCCCGGAGCTTTTCCAAGACGTGAGAGGAGAAAAACAGACCACACTGTTTTCAGTCAAAACACGCGAGGTGCCTGGCGGCCAGCAGACAGACCGGGCCATCCAGATGGAGCGGGTGCAGGGAGGTCCGGCACCACCACACGCCGCCCTCGGCCGCCCAGATCGGCCCCGCGGGGACAGGCTTTGATCTGGGCGGGAACCAGGCAGACAAGGACAGCCAACCGTGGTTCAGGCCCCGGGTTCCCAGGGCTGGTGGCCAGGCACCATGCCAAGGGCAAGAACAGAGCCTGGGGGGGCAGGGACGGTGCTCAGGGAGGAAACCAGTACCCAGACAGGACACATGGGGCCTGTGGTCCTGCAGCCAGACTATGAGATCAGTGGCCAGGACCCACTGATGCCCACCTCCACACTGGGGTGCCTACATCCCACCCAACCACCCCTCAGTGACCACTCTGAATGTCCTCTGGCTTTGCCTTGCCCACTGTGGCCTGCTGGCATCAGACACGGGGTCCTGGCCACAGGCCTTGCGTAGACCCCTCCTCAGCCGGTGAGGGCCCTGCCTGGTGTGTGTCTGGCTCTGAGAAGGCTGCCCACCACTGCATGTCACCCCGAGAGCAGATGGGGTCCTGGCCACAGGCCTTGCGTAGACCCCTCCTCAGCCAATGAGGGCCCTGCCTGGCCTCTGCGAGTGCTGCCCATCAATATGTGTCACCCTGAGAGCAGACAGGGCCCAGGCCTTGTGCAGACCCCAGCCAGCAAGGGCCCTCTCTGGCCTGTGTGAAGGGTGCCCACCGCTGTGTGTCACCCCGGAAGCAGACGGGGCCCTGGTCACTGGCCCTGCGTAGACCCCACCCCAGCCAGCGAGCCCCCTGCCCGGCCTCTGCCCACCAATGGGTAGCATGCAGCCGAGAGCAGATAGAGTCCTGGCCACTGGCCTTGTGCAGACCCCTCCTCAGCCGGTGAGGACACGGCCTGGCGTCTGTGAGGGCAGAGAGAGTCCTGGTCACTGGCCCTGCACAGACCCCACCTGGCATCTGTGAGTTCCACCCACCGCGGTGTCACCCCGGGAGCAGACGGGGCGGCGGGCTCACCTGTTCTTCTCGCCTCCCTCGGTCTCGTCCACCTCGTCCGCGCTGCACGTGGCGCTCGAGTCGCTGTCCTGGGGGGCGCCGGTGGTCTTGGCCGGGGCGGGTTTGCTGCTGGGGCCGCTGCCTATACCGTCTTTCTTCTCGGTCTTCACGGTGCCCTCGGGCGCGGCCTCGGCGCTGCCCTCTGTGCCTGTGGCCCTGTCCGGGGCCTCCTCCTCCGCCTCCTCTTTGCACTCGACCTTGCACCTGACCGGCTCCTCTGCAGACACCTCCGCGGGGTCCTCCGTCTTCCCCACGTCCACCACCAGTTCCTCCGCCACAGGGGGCTTCTGTCCCTCCCCCTCCTCGGCTGGGGTGACGACGGTCTCGTCTTCCTTCTCCTCCTTGGGAGCAGCCACGGGGGCAGGAGGTGACGAGGGTGCCGGTGGGGGTGAGGGCACACCGGAGTCCTCGGGGGCTGGGGCGGGCTTGGTGGGAGCTGGGAGCTCCTCCGGCGGTGGGGTGGGCGGCGCAGGGGGTGGCCCATCAGCACCCGGGGCCGGTGGGGGCTTGGGGCCATTTGACCCAGCGTCTTTGGGGGCCTCCGTGCGTGGCGATGGGATGCTCTCCGTGTCAGAGCTGTTGTTGATGGCAACTGTGGGGAAAGCAGGGGTGGGTGAGGAGTGGGGGGCAGGTGTGGCCTTTCTGGAATCATCACTCTGATCCTGTGCACCCCAAGCCAGTGGACAGGCTACCTGGTGTTGCTGGAGCCACCCGAGTGCAAGAGAGCCCAGCCTGGGGACCCTCTCCCAAGGAGGCCCCTGCCCAGCAGACCCTACTCTCCACACAGCAGCTCAGAGCCTGGTCACCTCTGAGGCGGCGGGTCTGGGGCTCTGGGCCCAGGCCTTACTCTGGGTCTGCACACTTCCACCTGAGCTGTCACCTGGTTCTATGCCCTGCTGGCTGCAGGCACATGGGAACTTTCAGCCTGTTTCCCCATCTGTAGAATGGGAGAGCAACCATCCCCCCTCCCCGGGTGATTAAGGCACTGATTGGGTGGCACGGGGCAGAGGGTGAAGGGCACCATCATCATGGTGCAGGGAAGCGGGGACAGGAGCTGGTGAGCGGCCTGTGTGAGGGCACACGGCCAGGCATTCACAAACACCCAGGTGCTACTGTGGGGGCCCCGGCACGTGGAGCCTAGGAACTCGAGCACCCTCCTTAACACTGGTGGGCCTCACCCAATCAGCCGAAAGCCATGAGTATTAAATGAATGCGCTTTCTGGACCAGGAACCCTGCATCAAGACTGTCAGCTGACCTCTGAGATCCCAGTCTGCTGCCTGCCCCACACCTGCCTGCCCCACAGTCTCCTGAGCCACTTCACCTCCCTATCTGCCCACTGTGGGCCCTGTTCCCCTTGAGAACCTGCAAGCTGCAGCCTCCTTCTCCCAGAGCCCCGCAAAGCAGGGGGCACAGTAAGTGCTGAACAAAGGGTGTCCATATACAGCAGGTACAAATAAATGCTATGTGGTACACGTCAGATGTGTAACAGGTACAGGCCGAACAGGTGTATCCCTGGTACACAGCAAGCCCCGAATGAAGGCGTGTGTCCAGATACAGCAGATGCCAAGTAAGTGCACCAGTGTGTGAACACAGACTGAAGGAACATGCTAGGAACACATCAGGTGCAAAATAAGTGCTTCCCAGTACACCAGTGTATAGTGAGCACAAACTAAACAAGTGTGTCTGGTACACAGCAGGTGCACTGTAAGTGCTGACTGAGGAGTTTGTGTTCAGTATACAGCAGGCGCACTACAGGTGCTGACTGAGAGTGTGTATCTGGAACACAGCAGGTTTACTGTAAGTGCTGACTGTGTGCCTGGTATACAGCAGGTGTACTATAGTATGTGTCTGTATACAGTAAGTGTACTGTAAGTGCTAAATGAAGAGTGTGTGTATCTGGACTAGAGCAGGTGCACTATAGATGCTGTGTGTCTGGTACACAGCAGGTACACTATAGGTGCCAACTGAGGGTGTGTCTGGTATACAGCAGGTGTACTATAGGTGCTGACTGAAGAGTGAGTGTCTGGTAAACAGCAGGTGTCCTGTAGTGCTGACTAAGTGTGTGTCTGGTACACAGCAGGTGCACTATAGGTGCTGACTGAGGAGCGAGTGTCTGGTATACAGCAGGTGTCCTGTAAGTGATGACTGAATGTGTGCCTGGTACACAGCAGGTGTACTATAAATGCTGACTGAATGTGTGTCTGGTACAGAGTAGGTGCACTACAGGTGCTGACTGAGGGGCATGTGTCCGGTATATAGCAGGTGTACTATAAACGCTGACTGAATGTGCGTCTGGTACACAGTAGGTGCACTATAGGTGCTGACTGAGAAGCGTGTATCTGGCACATAGTAGGTGCCCTATAGTTGCTAACTGAGGAGCAAGTGTCCAGTATACAGCAGGTGTACTACAAACGCTGGCTGAATGTGTGTCTGGTACACAGTAGGTGCACTATAGGTGCTGACTGAGGAGCGTGTGTCTGGAATACAGCAGGTGTCCTTAAGTGCTGGCTGAGCAGCGTGTCCAGAGCTGGAGGGGTCAAGGGTGGGTTCAGGGCCCAGTTCAGAAGCCACCTCGTGACGCTGTGAGCCTCGATACCCCTCCTCTGTGACGTGAGGCCAGTGACACCCCCCTGCGCTGCTGTGGGGACCGGAGCTGGGGGTCATGAGAACAGCAGTGGAAATGCACAGAAGTGCAGGGCTGGGAGCGAGGCAGGGGACGGACAGAGAGCTTGAGGGGCCCGGGCAGCGGGGCATCAGCATGAATGAACGGGAGCAAGAGGCAGAGGCCCGCAGCCTCCAGCTGGCCCTCCCCCAGCCCCCGGCCAGCCCCATCCGTACCTGGGGCACTGCAGTCCCCTCTGGGCACCTCACTCCCAGAGGCGTGCAAGGCTGGAAGAAGTCAGACAAGAGTTAGCGGCAGGCAGGTGGCAGGTCAGAAGAGGGGGGTCAGGAGAGGAGGCAGGAGGCGAGGGAGCAGGTGGGCAGGTCTGGGGGCCGCAGGCAGCAGTGGGCACCTGTGACCATGTCCACGGATTGCTTCCCCATCCCAGGTCCTGTAGGACCCCAGATGAGCCGGGATGCTGGTAATCTGGTCTGTTCAAGGTCAACCCACCAGCGGACGATGTGGAGGGGGTTGGGTGGGCATGAAGTGACATGCTTGGTGGGGGACAGCTGGCCTCAGGAGTGGGCAAGGCTAGAGGGTGAGGTCCTTGGAGGGGTTCAGCACATATGCCCCTCAGACAGAACCAGGCTACAGGGGCCACTGTGACCCCAAACCTCAGCCTTCCTCCATGACTAAGGAGAGACTTTTCCTTACAGAAACCAAGGGGGCTGCACACTGCCCTGCTCAGCGCCCACACACACGCCCCTTCACCCTGCTGACCTCTCAAAGCACCCGAGGACGCTGAGGCCACACTCCAGAGGGTAGAGGCGTAAGTGTGACTCCAGGTCCATTCCAACCTGACCACGGCCTCAGCCACACCCCCCCTCAGCTGGGCTCCTCCCCAGGCCACAGGGACCCTAAGCCACACTCCCCCATTAGCCATGCTGACCCCTCCACACAGCGCTCAGGAGACCGGCACCCAGGCCCTTCTCTGTCCACCACTCTGCCTGAGCCTCAAAGTGGGGAGTCAGTGGCAGCTCTTGTGCGCCTGCTCCAAGGGTTCTCCAGTCACCCCAGCACCTGACACCGCACAGGGACCTCACCCTCCACCCCTCTCTCCCAAGGCCTCGAGGTGTTGACCCGACAGCCTCACCTTCGGCCTCCTCAGCCATCTCCTCCTCGTTCCCGCTCACGCCCGACACCTCCATCTCCTCGTCCTCCACCACCGGCGGGAAGGTGGTCTCCTCGCTGGTCGCGGCCGGAGCCTTCTTCTTCTTCCTCCGGGCGTTCCTCTCCTTCTCCTGGGGCACAGGGACAGTGGGGGTCAGTGCCCGATCTGGGCAACCAGCCCAGGCCTGGCCACTGCCATGGAGGGCAGTGACCTCGGCCACATGGCAGACCTCCTTCGCTGCTGCAGTGGCCAATCACACCAATGGCTATTTTTACTGGGGCCTTTACTCTCTCACCGAGTCCCTAACACGCCCTGGACGAAGTCCAGCCATCTGCCCGTGGCCCTGACACCCTCCTGGGGCAGCTGGGCACCTGCCCCTACCTGTGGTCCCTCAGGGAGGCATTCCTAGAGGGTGACTTCCTCGCACATGAGGAATGAATGAACCAACGTGCCTTTCTCTGTCCCTTCTTGTCTGTCCCTCAGAGGTCAGCTCTGTGGGCCAGGTCCCTGGCCTTGCAGGTCTGCTAGTCAGACCAGTAACATACATGTAAGGAGAGGGTGACAGACCTGAGAAGGGCACCTGACAAGGGGGTGTGCAAGGCGGGCAGTGCGGCAGGGGGTGGGCAGCCTGTGCCATGGCCCGAGACAGGAGCTCGGGGGTGTGTCCGAGGGCCACTTCCCCCGTCTGGGCCCCAGGCCGTCCCATGGGGCAGCTTTGTCCACCTCAATGGGCCTTGTGGTCCAGGAGGGCAGGGAAGATGTCATGGGGTCCCTGTGCCCCTTGCCGAGGCAGGCTTAAGTCCATACTTGCAGAGACTGCAAAAAAGGGGCCTTGGGTCTGAGGAGGGTTGGAGTGAGTCGGCTGGGGGTCTTGGGGTGACTGGGGTCCTCAAGTTACTAAGAGATTTTCCATCCAGATATGACAGGTGTGACAGGAGGGTATCAAGTACAGAGAGGACCCCCACCGCTCTCGGTGCTACTAGTCCCTGGCTCCTCAGGTCCCCAGAAAAGAGCTCCCCGCCCCCCACAACGCAGCCCAGCCCAGCTCTGAAGAGAGGGTATCTCACCTCCAGCCATCACAGGTCCTGACCACCGACCTCACACACATAGCCAGACTGACAACCAGCCCATGGGGAGCAGGGGGCCTCCTGCTCCAAACACTCAGTGTCCCGACCCTCAGGTCCCCAAGACCCCACTCCCCTACCCCCCGCAGGCCTTGTTCGAGGTAAACATGATATCTGGGTCACAGCACATGGACACAGAGAGGGAAGGGACATCCCTGTCCCACCTGCTGCTGGCAGGTCTGTCCCCAGCCCCGCCTGGCCATTCCATGTACCCACCCCTGCCCCAAACCCCAAGCTTCCTCTGGGAGCCTGGCTCTGGCCTCACAGGCGCAAGAAAGTGGTACGGCTGTGGCTTCTGTGGGTGCGGCCCAGGGATCCCCCTTCTTCCCCAATCTATTTTTAGCAGACGGGACGCTCTCACTGAGGGCTGGGTGAGAGGCCTCTGGCTGGGAGGGGAGCTGGGCGGGCACGGTGAGCTGCACAGGCAACAGGACTGTCTGGGGGGAGTGGGGAGCCCACACCCCAAGATGTGAGGCCTTCCCAGAGATGCTGAGATCTGAGAGGCCGAGTGCTCCAAGATTCAAGCTCCCCTCAATACTCATGAGGGCTCCTAGGAGGGCCCCCAAGATGCAAGCCCCCCAAGACTTGAAGGCCTTCAGGAAGGCCCCCCCGAGACTCAAGGATCCTCAAACTCAAAGGTCCCTAAGGGGACCCCAAGACCCACAAGCTAAGCACAGAGGGATGAGGTCAACAGGTGGGACCCTTCCCTTTCCTCCAGGCTGAGGATTAGAGTTGGGGAGCTACACTCTGGCAGCTGTCAGGTGTGCGCATGGGACAGAGAGAGACACTGCAGTGCCCTCAGTTACAGGCCCCCATGAAGCAGTGCTGCGTGCCAACGACCTTAGTGAGACTGGAGGAGGGGGACTTCACTACACGTGCTCTGGGCCTACTGTCAGGACGGGCCTACCCCTGGAGGACATCAGCTGAGCACAGTGACTGCAGCAATGGGCAGCAGAGAGCCTGAGGCTGCCAGGATCAGGCAGGGCTGTCCCTGGGTCACCATGAGTCGGGGGTGGGGGAGACGACTGGTGGTGCAGGCTGGTAAGTGTTAACCAAAATCGCCACTGTACTGAACTGGGCAGCTGATCTGCAAGAGAAAAGCCCTGGTGTCAGGCGTCCTCAGTGATGACAGCCATGGACACCCTCTGCGCTGACCCCCGCGGTCACCAGGAATCCCACTCAGTGGCGGTGGATTTTCTGATTTGGCGACACAGTGGTCATGTGCGTGGTTGCCGAGTGGCTGTGAGGACCACAAGACAGAGGGAAAAAAAGACTCAGGATCTACTCCACAAAGCCTGCTGTCGATTCAAGCACGACTCAGTGACCCGATGAGGTGCAGACGCCTCCTGGCCTAGCCGGTGCCAGCCTCACCAGCTCCTACCCCCTGGAGCCCACCGCTGCAGTCGCCGTGTCATCGGGCTGGAGGTCGACCTCTTTTACTGACCCTCCACGGAGCGTGATGTCCTTCCCCGAGGAATAACCCTGCCGAACGACACACTCTAGGCACGAGAGAGACACCTGCCATGCTTCTCCCTGGGGAGCACGCTCACCCCCCCACCTTCTTCAAGACACAGCTGTCCGCTCTACGGGCGTCCTGGACAAAAAACCCCGGGGCGACTCTACTGTCTCATGAGGGGTCGTTAAGGGCCGGCCAGTGCAGCCAGGGATTCACTCACTGAGTCCACACGGCTGCGGCCAGGATGTGCCCTCCCCCCCAGCCTAAGGGTACCCACAGCCGGACGCCAGCTCCCAGCCACCTCTCTTACACCACCTCATCGTCCAGCCTCCAGAGCACTGCCCCCTCCATACCCACATGGGTCCCTCACTTCCTCAGCTCTGTCAAAAGTCACCTTCTCAGACGTCTGCCTTCTCTGCCCAGCTGTCACTGTCACTGTCACCTGGACTCTGACAGCGACGCCGCAGGACAGAACAGGCTGTTCTACAAGGTTTCAGGCGACGACCAGTTCTCTTTTCCCACAGAGAGGCCAGTGGGATTGAACTGGTGACCTTCTTAGCAACAGAGTGCAAGTGTTCCACCACTGTACCACCAGGGCTGCAACTTGGATTACTCAAACCCCCACTAATAGCACTTCTAGTGCTACTAACACTAAGACTGCTGCTGTCAGAGGGGACCCTGACTCCCAGCGGGGCTGCGGGGCAGAGGGGACCCTGACTCCCAGTGGGCCAGAGCAGACACTGACTCTCAGCAGCTTCATGGGGCAAAGGGGACCCTGATTCCCAGTGGACAGACCCTGACTAACAGCGGCCCCGTGGGGCAGAAGAGACCTGCCTGGAGCCCTCGGCAGGCTGTCTACAAGCAGGCAGTCCCAGCATCGTCCCTCAGGCTGGAGGGCTTCAATTGCCAGTGGTCAGCCACTGCCCCCAGATTCCCCTCTTCGGTGCCAGCCTCGTCCCACTGGCCAGGCTCGCCCACCCCATCCATCACATCTGCCTCGTTCATCATCGCGCCTCGGTCTAAGCCTGTGCGGACTCCTCTCACGCAGAGCAGCCAGCGTCCCGAGCAGGGCGGGTCCTCTGTCCACACCTACCTTCCTGCAGCACCTGGCACCGACAGGCACAGACACCCAGAGGAACAGGCACCTGCCCGAGACCATGGAGGACTGCAGGCAGGGAGGGCTGGGCCCCTGACCGCCAAGGCACTTTGTGCGGGCAGACCTTTGCAGCCTGAGGTAGGGGTCACAGCAGAGGCCTGGAATTCCAGCGTGTAACGCGGAGGGGAGGCAACCTTGGAGGCACTGAAGCCAAATGTTACGTAATGCTCTGCCTGCCCACTGGCCTCCTGCTGACGCTGACCTGGCCCACGGGAGGAAGAGGATGTCGCCGCCCTCCCCCCGTGTCTCCCTGTGCTCCAGACGGGACCAGAGTGCAGAGTGACAGGAGAGGGAGGTCATCAAGTGTGGCAGCATCTCGGGCCACTGCTTGAATACTCCAGTGACAGAGGGCTCATTCCTGCACAGAGGATGGACGTCCTCAGCTGTCCCCTGCTGCCCCTGCCTTTCCCGCCTGTGACTCCGTGGCCACCTATCACCTCCGTCAGCCCAAGTGCCGTCCTGCTGTCCTGTAAGCATCCTGCCTTCCTGCTAACCCCCACCCACCACTTTGCTGAGCCGTCACTGTCCTCCGTCAGCCCTGTCGGCACCCTGCCCCCGCCCCCGCTACCCCACTGGCCTGGCCAGTCACCTGCCAGAGCTCAGTCAGGGGTCCGTTCCTGGGCTCACAGACCTGGGGTGACACCTGCCGTTCACGTAAGAAGTTCAAGCTCAGGGCCTGCAGGGCACCCGAGCTGTGCTCTGTGGCCTTCCAGGAGCAGTCAATAAAGGCACACATGGGAGGGCCACATGCCATCCTCAACACAGGCTCACTTCCTCTTCATGACACCCCTGGAGACACGGAGGCCAGAAAGGCCCTGGAAACAAGCCCATATTACAGAGCAGAAGACTGAGGCCTCGGGCTGCACAGCCAGAAAAAAAAACACACCCATCTCAGCATTCCCAGAGCCCTGCTCTGTCCTCAAGGCTGACCCCAATCGAGTTATCAATAATCAGTCAGCTAGCCGCTATAGGAGCCAATGTATATAGGCTCAGGGGCACAGGGGGCCTCAGCTCTAGCCATGGGGTCCCCACCGTTAGCACCATCTCATGCCTTATCATCCAAGGTTACTATGTTCTTCGTACAGGAGGGGAAACCGAGGCCGAGAAGGGACCAGCCACATCTGAGATACCACAGAGAATAAAAGTGCCGGGGCCTGGACTTGAACCCAAGTCTCCTGAGCATGAGCCTTGTTTTTAACCCTCAGCATGGCTGCTGCCTCAGTGCATCTGAGAGGATTCCTAAGATACTGAGGAGGGTCGGTGGCTCCCCACAGGAACAGCAGCGGGGTCAGCGGCAGAGCAGCGGGGGTCAGCGGCAGAGCAGCGGGGGTCAGCAGGGGTCAGTGGCAGGAGCTACGCCACCAGGAGTGGAGGTGGGAGCCACGACTGTGGTTGTTCTGTGCCTGAGTCGATGACAACTTCCAGCGACCCGACCAACAAGGGCTCTGAATCCTGCCCTATCCGGAGCCAATCTCATCGTCTCTGACACACCTGCCCCTATGGTCACAGTCACTGTGTCAATCCCTCCCAGCCAGCGTCTCCCTCTCCTGTGCTGACCTCTCCACCCTCCCAAAGCATGATGTCCTCCTCCAAGGACGGGTCTCTCCTGGTGACAAGCCCAAAGTATGTGAGACAGAGCTTCCAAAGAATTAGGCAGCACATCACTCTGAGGAACCGCGTCATGTCTGCATGTAACGACAGCTGCCGGAGTCCCTGACACTGCTGTCACAGTAGCAACGGCGGCAGTAACAGGACGGGTCAAACGAGTCTAGTGACTCCGAGGGACATCCTGGTGGCAGCTGCGGCAGAGGTCGCAGTGACAGTAACAACATGGTCCTGCCGGAGTTAGGAACAGTAAGTGGACGGAACACTGTCAGGGCAGGACACTTCATAGCAGTGTTGTAATAACACGTAAACGGTTGCAGCACTGGCGGGTGGGGTCGCAGTCAGAGTGACAGATGCTGGAACAGTGTGTAGATGAGCAGTGGTTATAACGACAGTAGCAGTAAGAGGTGTAGCAATGGTAGCACTTGCAGTAGAAGCACTACAACAAATGCAGCACCAACCACAGTATTAAGTGTTGCAATAGTATTAGTTGTTGTTGTTGATTGCTGTTGAGTCGTGTGCGACTCATAGCAATTCTATGAACAAAAGACCTAATGTGTTTCCATAACTATGGTCATTTCTCCAAGTTTCCAGAGGCTTATGGTTTAGGATGTGGGATGCCACTCCTGCTTCCAAACAGAGACGTAGGTCTACCCCTAGACCTAGCCCTAACCCAAGACGGAGACCTAGGTCTAGCCCTAGCCCTAAGCCTAGCTCTAACCCTAACCCTAACCCTAACCCATGAATAAAAGACCTAATGTTTTTCCGTAACTGTTGTCATTTCTCCAAGTTCCTAGAATTTCCAAAGGCTTATTATGGTTTAGGAAGTGGATGCCACTCCTGCTTCCAAACCTGTTTTACAACTGGGGGCTCCACCAAACACTGTCCACACTGGGAAACCATTCCGGTATTTGCTACCCCAATGGCACAACGTTCAGCGTCACAGCAAACCCAGTTTACATCATTATAGCACATCGACAAGGAGGGATGTGCAAAGTGGAAGAATGTTCCTCCAGATAGAACAGCACTAATCTCATTTAGCAGTGGTTTAAGGGCTGTTGAGTCGAACACAACTGAGAGTAAGCTTTGCACAAAAGGCCTGAAGTCTGTTCTAGCACTAACATCATTCAGTACTGGTAGATATCGTAACAGGGGCTGCTGGCAGTAATTGTACAAAGTGCAACAGGAAGAGGGCAGGTGCTGTCAGCGCTGGACGCAGTAGTGCTTTAATAAGGGCTACGGTTACAGACACAGCACTGGTGGTTAGTGTTGCACCTGCAGGGTGACTACACGCCATGGCAGAGGCTGCTGAACTAGCCAGGCGGCAGAAGTCACAGCGGCAGGACTGAAGGGAAAGGAGGCCCGAGCCACGGGCAGCAGGAGGACGGTGGACACAGTTCTAAATGCAGCTGCCGCCCCAGGGGGGCAGTTAACTGTTTCAGTTGTGCTAACGACAGCAGGGGTCACTAACGCCGCAGCGGTCCGTTCAAGTAAGCCAGTGGTAACAGCAGCAGGTGTGCTGCAGGCGTGGCTGCTGCCGCCGCAGTGGTAGCAATGGTGAGGGCTGTGGCAGTAGGTGGAGGAGAACCGGGACTGGCAGCGGAGGCAGGAGACGGGACGATGGCACCAGCGTCGTGGCTGACGCTGCAGCTGGGGCACTTGGTGTCACAACCGAGCTCGCTGCTGCAGTCCTGGCAGCGGGGATCCTAATGGGACAGAAGCAACCTGCTCTCTTCATAATCACAGTCACTGGAACAGCTGGGCTGTTGCTATCATAGTTGTAGTAGAAACAGTAAGGAGGTAGAAACAGTAACTGAAGTAGAAACAGTAACTGAAGTAGAAACAGTAACCTGAAGTAGAAACAGTAACCTGAAGTAGAAACAGTAACCTGAAGTAGAAACAGTAATGAAGTGGGATCAGAAATAAACAATAGGGGGCGCAGTAGTTGCGATGTGTGTGCAGTGACGATGTCCCTGCTGCAGGGACGGCATGTGAGTGTAGTGGCTGTTGCTGGAGTAGCTTTAGGGGTAGAAGCAGCAGCAGCAGTGATACTTGCAGTGGCGGATGGAGTGCAGTGGCTGATGCTGTAAGCGCTGTAAGGGGGGGGGAGCAGAAGCAGCAGGGACACGTGCAGTGGCGGTGTCTCTCCTGCAGGAGGGGAGATCAGTGGGGCCGGGAGTCAATGGAGCAGCCATGCCGCTGCCAAAGGAGCAGCAGGAGTAAGAGGGGTCGGAGCAGAGTGTCGGCTCCAGGAACAGGTGTAGTAACTGGCAGCACTTAACAACAGTGCCAGTGGTGCTGCTATGGGAGTCGCTGAGGCAGATAGAGTGGCGGCAGCGAGGGCGGGCACAGGACAGCCAGTGGTGGTCACGGACGGAGCAGGACTGTTGCTGCCGCCGGCGGAGCAAGTCAGCGGTAGGGCTTGCTGTGGTAACAGCTGCAGGGTAGACATGGTAGTGGGAGGGGAAGGGAAGAGTAGCAGTGAGGGTAGTAGACGGGACAGGAGTATTAATACTGGAGTACTAGGAGCAGGGGTAACCGGTGTGCTGGCAGTGTGTGCTTTAGTTAAGCTGCTTTTAGAGGCCGTAAGAGACACAGGATGCGGCGGTACTCAGTAGGAGGGGAAGAGTAGCAGTGAGGGTAGTAGACGGGACAGGAGTATTGATACGGGGGTAACAGGTGTCCCGGCAGGGTCTTTGCTGTGCTGATGGTAGTAAACAGACAGCGGGTGGGCAGTGGTACATGGCACAGAGGCTGGTGCGGTGCTGACAGCTCGAGCGGTAGCAGCAGCAGCAGAGGGAGGAGGAGGAGGAGGAGCACGGTGGGCCGTGCAGTAGTAACGGGAGGAGGAGGAGGAGGTGGTGCACCAGCAGCTGTGGCAGCCGGAGCAGGGAGGCCGGCCAGCCTCACCCCTGGGCACCGCCTCCCTGCCAGGAGCTTTCTAGGTTCCCGTTAACTCCTTCGGCACTCTCCACAACTCCTGCAGAAAAGTGCCACCTCTCTCCCACGGGCAACTGAGGTGTGGCAGGGAAGCCAGGGCCCAGGCCACACGGGTGTCCTTGGCACGCTGGGACCTGGCCTGCCCTCACCAAGCCTGAACACGCCATCAGCCTTGCTGGGCTTCTCGGGTACACGGGGCGCAGCAAGGGCCCCGGGGGGACTGGAGGATGTGGTCACCTCTAGGGATTATTAAGCCGGTTCCCTCTGAACACTCAATGCAGAATCTCCTTGCCCCCCAGGTAAGGATTGGGGCCTGGGAGGAGAGGGAGATGAGTGGAGAGAGAAGCAGGGGTGCAGGGGCAGAGTGAGGAGGGAGATGGGGAGCAGAAGAGTAAGATGACAGGGAATGGGGGGAAGTGAGGATGGAGGTCCCCCCAGGTCTAGGGGACACACAGTCCAGCCCCACTCCGACCCTGGGCACCCAGAGCCATCCATGACCATTCAGGCTGACGGGCTTCTGCCGAGGGTCCTAGCAGGAGCCAAGGCAGGATCTCGGTCGGCCCCTCCGAGCCCCTCACCTTAGACATCACGGTACCAGGGCAGGGGCCAGGGAAGACCACGGTGTGGAAGGACTTCCTGTCCAGAGATGAATGGGTGGGGTGGGGTGTGCCTCCACATGGGGTGCCAGCAGGATCCAGGGGACATGGAGCCCACCGTGCGGAGCGCACACAGGCCCTGGGGGCGCCAGGCATGTCCCGGGGGCACACGGCGCGGACCTCAGAGAGTGACGCACTAGCCGGGCCCCGCCAGTAAAATGCAGACAGACGCGCAAGTCCACACACCGAGAATGACGTAAAAGGCAGTCAGTCGGCCGCCTCCAGAGGGTCGAGGTTCCTGAGCTCCGAGCTGACTCCCTTCCCTCACATCTCTGCTCCCCCAAGACACACCCCTGACTTCCCACAGCCCTGGGCTGTGAGGTCATGCGGGAAGTGGCGTTGAGAGCACGTGGCCATGAGCCTCCAGCACTTCATTCCAAGGCCCTGACAGCGGTGGATCCGGCCGGCTGAGTCAGTGCCGGCCAGCGCCCGCCCCACACCCCGAGGGGCCTGCAGTGTCCACCCAGCCGGCCGCTCTCAGGAGGCCAAGGCCGAAGTGGGATGCTCCCGCCCAGCGAGCGGCAGCTGGGGCGTCCAGGGCACGATGCCCGCTGCTCGCCCGCAGGCCACTCACCATCTTCAGTTTGTGCTGCTGCAGGATGGCGTCCAGGTTCTGCCTCTTCTTATAGTTGAAGTAGAAGTTCTTACACTGTGACACGGTCTTGGAGCCCACCATGCGGGCGATGGCTGACCAGTTCCGGCCGTGCTCCAGGAGGCCTGTGGGCACAGAAGGGGCAGTGAGGGTGGGTGAGGCGCTGGGAGGACACCTGCTCAGTGGACCACAGGAGGCCCTGGACTCCAGGCCTGGCCCTGGGTCCTGTAAAGTAAGATGGTCTAGTCTATGGGGACAGTGGCAGGTGTGCCTTTCTCTGAACGCACCCCTCAAGGCTGGGGTCCCTCATTCAGGAGCAGGACACAGGCCCGCCTGGCCAGCTCCCCACCTCTCAGACTGGGCAGAAGGCCAAATGAGAGAGCCGTCACTGAAGTGGACTTGCAGCTGCAGAAGAGGCCTCGAGAGACGGCTGTTTTCCGGCCACGCCGGCCCAGAGAGGAAGGAGAGTGATTGGGGGGCTGGGGCTTGCACCCAGCTTAGTGGGGGCCCCCAGCTCACTCATCAGACTCAATGTCAGTGGCACGGTGTGGACCTGCCATGAATCACTTTATTTCCTGAGGTTCTCTGGACCGCTCCTCTCACGAGGAGAAACACTGAGGACCCCAACAAGTTCCCTCCATCCCTGTGAGCTCAGGCACACCCCTCCCGCCGCCCCCAGCTTCTATTTTCAAAGCCGCAAATCCTGGGCTCAGCAAAAAGGCGGCCCCGGCCTGGTCACTAGGCATCACCTCAGGAGCCGGGTCTCCGGCCATCTGCCCACAGAGCAGCCAGCACGCACAGACACACACGGGCACATGTGCTCACGCGTGCATCACACACAAGTGTGAACACACACATGCATACAGACACGTGCAGACACACACACACGCACTGTCTCGCCAGTGGCATGACCTTGTTCAGGCCCGGGAAGGTTCCCTCAGAGGAAGGTCACCATGCGCTCCGGTTCAGGAAGGAGTCCCAGCCCTGCGCCCCCACCCCCACCTCCCGACTTGAATAGATTTCCCGTGAGGGAGTTCTGGGCCATTCTCCTTGAATCAAATTAAGCCCCATGCAATTGTGCAGGGGAGGGGACCTGAGAAGTAGCAGTCTGTCTCAGATTCCCATTCATTCATTTGTTCTAACCATCCTTCTGTCCGTCCATCCATCCATACATCCATTCACACATCTGCCAACAGCCTGTTGTGTGCACAAGCTCCGAACAGAAATAACAGCGGCGTGATCAACATCAACAAGCGGCCACGTCACACCGAGTGACACAGGTTTACAGAGCCTTCCAGAGAGACACGATTCTGCTGGCCCTGGTCCCCTTGTCTTCTCACTGCCAATTCCCTCATCTCGGGGACAGGGACACTGGGGCTCGGGGGTCACACAGGCGCCCAGGAGGGGCCCAGTGAGAGGGGGTGGCAGCTTGTCCACCTGCTCGCCTGCGGTGCCCAGGGCCACGTGGCGTGGTGGCTGGCTCCTCAGGGTTCCTCAAGGACAAGGCGGAAGGGGAGGGCCGGCGCAGGACCGAGTGTAACCCAGGCCCTGACCTTTCCCTCTGCAGAGCCGGCAGCAGCTGCCACACGCAGGGAGCCAGGCCACCGTGGAGGACAGGGACACACGTTTATTTATATTTTCCCTCACCGGGGCCAAGAAAACCTGGCAAGGAGGCTGGCCAGGGCACAGACACAGCTCCCTGGGAGGGGGGCGGTTCTCCCATCTGGGGTGGCCCGCCCCAGGGGACAGTGACATTTCCAAACTACATAAACAAATAAGGAAGTGGCTCTGAGTCCCAGGCCGAGGTAGGAGCAACTAGACTGGTGAATGGGGGTCCCCGGCCTGTCCTGAAACAAGGGGCTACGGAGGGAGTACTGGGCTGAGGGGTCAGATGACCTGCAAAGAATGGATTCTTACACTGAAGGACTCCCTCTGCCCCGAGCCTCGGTTTCCTCAAGTGTCTGGAGGGCGGGGGTGGAGTCTCCACTACAACTAGAGACACAGGGGTCATCAACTGAGGTGACCTGGGGGGACACCTTAAGCTCTTGAGACCTTCCCAACCTCAAAAACAAGCAGCGCCCCCTCCTCCCAGGAACATGGGAGGGCACGGCTAGGGATCTGGCGGGAATAGGGGGCCACCTCCCGGGGTCCTGCTCCCAGAGTCAGGCAGCCTTCACTCTGCGCCCCGGGCGCCCCTGTCACCAGTTCCCACTGCCCTGGGCCCCCAGAGGCCACGCACTCACATCCTCTCATCCACGACTCCCCCTCGGCCAAGTTTTCCGGAAACATACGGCTGAAGGATGCTCCCGGCCCGGCGGGAGCGGCGAGAGGCACGGGCTGGCGGCTCTGCCCGGCCCTGGCGGCGTCTGC